TGGTACAGGTCACCCAGGAAGGTGGTACAGGTCACCCAGGAGGGTGGTACAGGTCACCCAGGAAGGTGGTACAGGTCACCCAGGAGGGTGGTACAGGTCACCCAGGAGGGTGGTACAGGTCACCCAGGAGGGTGGTACAGGTCACCCAGGAGGGTGGTACAGGTCACCCAGGAGGGTGGTACAGGTCACCCAGGAGGGTGGTACAGGTCAACCAGGAAGATGGTACAGGTCACCCAGGAGGGTGGTACAGGTCACCCAGGAGGGTGGTACAGTTCACCCAGAAAGGTGGTACAGGTCACCCAGGAGGGTGGTACAGATCACCCAGGAGGGCGGTACAGGTCACCCAGGAGGGTGGTACAGGTCACCCAGGAGGGTGGTACAGGTCACCCAGGAGGGTGGTACAGGTCACCCAAAAGGGTGGAACAGGTCACCTAAGAGGGTGGTACAGGTCACCCAGGAGGGTGGTACAGGTCATTCAGGAGGGTGGTACACGTCACCCAGGAGGGTGGTACAGGTCACCCAGGAGGGTGGTACAGGTCACCCAGGAGGGTGGTAAAGGTCACCCAGGAGGTTGGTACAGGTCACCCAGGAGGGTGGTACAGGTCACCCAGGAGGGTGGTACAGGTCACCCAGGAAGGTGGTACAGGTCACCCTGGAGGGTGGTATAGGTCACCCAGGAGGTTGGAGGTTGGTACGTAGAGGAAATTTTTTTCCTGAGACTAAGTTAACAGCAAATAATACAGACATAATTAAAGACTAACAGCACGCAAACAAGGCAGAGTCAATCCCAAGACCTTCAGTATATTCCGCATAGGTACACAGTCTCTCCACGCAAGATAGATGAATAGTAAATCTAGGTCCCAAATTGCTCGAAAGTCACCTGTACCAGAGCACAGTTCACCGCCTTGTGTTGACACAGCACTCCAAGATGGCGCAGAAACTATGTTCACAACGGTAGTGTTTTAACGATAATCTGAATGAGATTCAAGGTGCTAACCCTTCCTCTCAGAGGCTATGTTCAATAATGCATTTAAACAACAAAGTCAAAACAGCTGAAACATACTGAAGACACAAGGCAATGCTCAGAAGTTATAAATACCCCAAAAGTGGCTTAATATGTGATTGCGTACGAGGCTGTGCTAATGGGAAAAGAACGGCATAGCAGGAGTTTGAAGAAAATTATAGGTAAGGTTTGCAGGAGAACAAGAAGGCTTTAGGATGTCATGTAGGGGGTGTATTGGAACATAAGCATAATCGGGGAATATGGGAGTAAGGGAGTATGTATAGGCAGGGGATATGCGAGGCAGTAGGAGGGATGAGTGCGGAGGTAGGTAGGTAATGTGAGGTCACTGGTGACTACATCTTCACCTCTCATTACTCTACCCACCACTCCACACTACTCACCCTCTCACTACTTGAAATAAACTAATGAATAAAAGAGCAAATAATGGGGACAGTGAATATTACTATTCTACTCAAACACAGTTTATTATTAAGTCCTTGTACAATAATATATTTGGGAACAGGAGAACATTATTGTGGTTTAGATAAATGGGATGGTATGTATAAGCAGTGAGACAGGGAACACAATCAACTTGACCAAAATGAATATTACTTACAATATAGCACAGAGGACAGTTCACTACAGGAACTAAGTCACAGGTCCCAAGACCTACACAGCACGAGTACTACGCCAAGCCAGTACTCTGCCCAATGCCTCCAATAGTCTCCTCCAGAGACTTCAGCAGCCTTCTCTCGAGCCCTGCACCCCAGCAGCAGCTCTGCCCAAAGTCTCTCTGCTCAGAGCTCTGCACCCAGGCCAGAGCTCCTCACGAATCTCCCTGCTCAGGAGCTCTGCACCCCAGCAGCAGCTCCGCTCGAATCTCCCTGCTCAGCTGTTCCTTGGGCTTATATTGTCCCGAGAGCGCCCCCCACAATGAGGTGTGCACACGTGGTGTTGATCTGATGCCAAGGTCTGACGCCGTCCAGAACAAAAGACCTCAGTCTTAAGCCGAAAAGGTGTGGCTGACAGACGTTTGCCAAGGCAAGGTGTGACCATATAATTGGTTAAATTAGGTCTCCCCAGAGACTTCACAAGCCCAGCTCAACTACATCACAAGGAAGGGTATGAGACGTGTAGATCATGTGGTTACATTGAAGCATGTAAATAAACAATACTTATTTAAAGGTAATGAACTGTTCATTCCAGTTATGGTTTTAGAAAAGGCTTATGATAGAAACTATACTACGAGTGGGGATAGAACCCGTGATCAGAGAGTCTCAAGACCGTCGCATTAGCCACTGCTAACGTGACGGTCTGGAATTTTGAGACTCTCTGTTCGCGGGTTCTATACCCGCCCGTGGTATGGTTTGTTTGCAATTGTGTCATTATGATATCGTGAGTCAGGGTTGTGGTAGGGTGGATAAGAGAGCACTTTAGCATATATTGCTGTTATGACCAAGGTCATAATGAGATTAATTTATATATGTATTATCCACTTAATATTATACTCGAGGTTTCTTTAATATTAGTTAAATTAAAGATTCCACTAGTTTATAATATTATCTGATTTAGGAATATACCCGGGTATGATGTGTGTATATATATATTTATGTATTTTGAGTAATGTGTTGGGTAGGTAGGTAACAGCTAGCTAAGAGTTGAAACAAGGTATGTCCTTGGAGGGTAGTTTAGTCTACTATTCCCTCTCCCCTTTGGAGAGTTGATGTCATGTAGGGATTAACTGTGTTAATTCTGTTCGCTCTCTCTGCTGACTCAGTGTGCATTGACTGAGCTACCCCTCCAGTACTCCACCTTATTCTCACTTGGATAGAGAACTGTGTTGCAGAAACTCCTGAACCAGCTTGAGGTTTATTCTGATGTGAAGTCTGCGGACAGTTATATACTGTTACCCTCAGTTTACGATGTGACGACCTGTGTCAAGCCTAGAACTTTAAGTGATATATTCCTTATGCCAGGGAGTTACTCAGTGAAAGTGTTCCTTCTCAATGTATGTACTCGCATACAAGTAATGTCATTATTGAGGAAGCAGTAATATTCCTCTGATCATTAATAAGTGTAGTGACCATGTTGACAGAAGGTGTCTATGAAGCAGACCAGAAGGGGGTCTATGATGTACATTCTATTTAAGTGTTTTCTTATGTGAATGAAAGTTTCTGGCGAAGTGATATTTAATTGATATTTATGAATATTTAAGAAGTATTTAAGCTTTTAAATAAAAAGAAACTAGAAAAGACTGAGTAACTGTTATTTGTGCCTTACATTTCTAAGTTTGGAAGTCTACCCATTCTATGATGTGTATTGTTATGGAGTGCACTAACCTGGCTAAAGATTAAGATTCAAACCGTAACAGTCATACTCCTTTAAAATGATCTTCTTAACTGCCTCGTAATCTGCATACTTGTCATAAGGGAGAGCTGCAGTACATGATTGAGCCTTACCCTTAAGAGTGGTGTGAAGTAAGATAGCCCAATGTTCGAAAGGCCATCTCATCCCTCGTGCCTGATTCTCAAATGTGTCGAAGTGTCCAAGTCTGTTTCACAAAACCTGGGCACTAATGAGACAGCCCTGTGCAGGTCAAAGGTCAAGGTTGGAGTAGCGAATGACTTACTCTTTTCTTCCTCTTTTTGCCTCTCGAATTGGAAGTTTTCCCTCTCGAATTCTTCTTTATACAGCAGGCGCTGGGATTCCAGTTGCTCCGTTTGCAACTTTATAAGATGTTCCAGACGTTGAAAGTGTTCGAGTGAGATAGGAGACAAAGGTACTGGAGGAGTGGGAGGAGTGTGTCCCTCTAGGCCAGTGGTTCCCAAACTTTTTCAGCTTGTTACCCAGTTTAACATGCCACATAAAGCATGTTACCCCTTTCACATAATGTTGTTATTATTGATATATATGGCTAAATTAAAACACTTGAGATATTTTCTTTTATTTATTGTATTTGAACATTGTGCATCTCTAATGACTATTACCAAAGATGTCAAGAACATCAGTGGGATGGATGGAGTTGCATACTTGAAGCTAGTTTAGGAATTCTTGGCTTCGTGGTTGAAAGTGCCAGCCTGGCATCGTTTGCAACATTCAAGCGAGTCCTCTTTTTTTGTTTTCATACCCAGCACAGTTGAGAAGCCCTTCTCGCACAGATACGTTGTTGAGAATGATACCAACAACTTCAAGGCTCTCTTGGACAGAGTTGGCGAGTCAGGTAGTCGTGAAATCCAAAAGGAATCTGCATTTTGGTTTTGGAATTCGATTTTCAAGGCTTCATTGGCTCGCATTGTGATCCATTCCTCCTTTGCAGGGAAATCATCATGAATGGCATCATCAGGTACAGAGAAGGGATGAATGATCCACTGAAGAGTGGCTGTTTCTTGGTCACTCTCTGGAAAGTAGTGATGCATGCTTGTTTCAAGCCCCTTCAAATGGTCGCTCATTTCTTTGTTGATGGTCTGTAGAAGTGATCCAGTATCATGACTATTCTCCTCAACAAACTGGTCTAGGGTGGGAAACTGGGCGATCACTCCTTTCTCCAAGCGCTGAATCCAGAGTCTCAGTTTCCCCAGAAATGCAGTCACAGTGTGATGGGCATCAATGACAGTCGTGTTTCGGCCCTGGAGTTGCAGATTACCACTGTTCAGCTCCGCAAATATGTCAGCCAAGTAACAAAGTCGAGCAAGCCACTCCTCATCGGTGAACTTGGTAGCAAAAAGAGATCCTTTTTGTTCCAGGAATTCCTGAACAGCTTTTCGGAGCTCAATGACTCGACGTACAACCTTGCCTCGTGACAACCAGCGAACATCGGTGTGGTAGAGCAGAACTTGATACTGCTCTCCCATTTCCTTGCACAGCTCCTTGAATATGCGCGAATTCACATCTCTGGACTTGATGAAGTTGACGATTTTCAACACATCTTCAAACACTAACTTCAGATTACCAGGCAGGCTTTTCGATCCAAGAGAGTACCGATGAATGATGCAGTGATCTACAGAAATTTCTGGATTGATAGCTTGTATGAGGCCCCGTAATCCACGATGACACCCATCATCGACGGTGCTCCATCGACGGAGACCTGGAATAAAAAGAAAAATTATTATAGACTGCGTCAGTTAGTCATTGTTACTTATCTTTTGCGTTATAATTATATGGTTTTAATTAATTATTTCGGTACTTGAGTATTTCAGTACGACAGGCACGATATTTTTTGTGTGAATCATGTACAAAATATTAGCTACACTACAGTAACTTGTACAATAAATAAAACTGTATATGACTATATGCCGTGTTATTCATTGTATTTATACTAATTTAGACTTTATATAAACATCGTTTCCTACCTGTTGAACGCTGTTCCAATCCAATCCATTCTTGGTAAAGAAACTGTTGATGATATTGAAGACATCTTCTCCCTTTGTGGTTGTCAGCAGATCCTCGCATAATAGGAACTCTTCTTTGATCTTGTCCTGGTGGACGTAACGGACGAACCCAAGGAGAACAGCACAACTGGCTACGTCACACGATTCATCAAATTGCAAGGAGAATTTGCCATATGAGCTTTCCTTGATCTCTGTTGTAACTTGGGACAGGATATCTGATGCCATGTCATCGACTCGTCGGCGGATGGTGTTGTTTGATAGAGATATGACACTCAGTTTCTTCGCTTGATCCTCCCCACATACCTTGCTTACCATCTCGTATGCACAAGGCATAATCAGATTCTCTGCAATGGTGTGGCATTTCTGTTGTTCGGCAATTTTATATGCAACACAGTAGGATGCTTCGACCGCAGCTTGAAGCTTTTGGGCTTGAATTCCAGATGAGCCGAACTGGATATTCTTCAGTGCTACAGCCTGGCGCTGAAAATAAGCCTGATCCTTATTTTGAAGATTTGGATGGCACTTCTGGAGGTGAGCTGAGAGTTTTGATGGCTTGAGGCTTTCATTTGTCAACACTTTTGTGACATGCCACACATTGTGGCCGATCCTCTCCACCAGAAGTTAAATTCACAAAGCCATGGCGAAGAAAGGCGTCAGTGTAGGTGCGCTTTTTGGACATTTTCTTGTTCAATCTGCAGAAAAAGAAGAATATCCATGCATACACTGCAAAACGCAAGGTACATAATTTCTCGCATGGCAGCTAACACAAGTTCACTGATGCAAGCACACACGCATACATTCAAAATTGTCAGGCTGCAAGTATCATGCTTGTCAGCACAAGAGCACCGTGTAGCGCGAGACTACAGTGAACGTATACAGCCTCGCATACTCTGCTAATCCTAGCAAAACCATTGAAAACGTAAGAACCACACATACATTATATATAAAATTAATAATAGCTACAAATTCACAGTAACAGTGGGTAAATACTAACTATATACTGCACAGGGCAGTACACATACATACCAGCTTATGTCTACCTCGGCTGATGCTCACAGATAAACTGACAGTGTGAAATAGAGGCAGCCTCAGGAAGTGAGTGACGCGTACTGGACAGGTCGATCTGGGCTACTGAGTGACTTTTGTCCTGAAGCATACTTGTCAAAATACTTTTGGGTTTCCACACACTTAGCTATATATTTCTTCTTTTCTAATACTGTATATTAGTTTTTGATGTTTATTGTTATTTGGTTTAACTTTATTACTTATTTATAATAGGTTTACTTTACAACTTTATATACTAAGACAAAGTTAACAATAATCCTTATACCGGGTACCGCATTGTTTTCTTGATTTTCAGAATTCATAACTTTTTTTCTGTCACCCCTCCATTACCCCCCAAAAATGGTTAAATTACCCCCAGGGGGTAATTTACCCCCAGTTTGGGAACCACTGCTCTAGGCAAAGCTTGGGACGAGCTCCATCTCTGGTCGTCCCCACATGACCAGGACTAGCTAATGGGCTCACATTACACGAATCAGGTGGCACGTTGTCCCGAGACATAGCCTCTGCTCCCAAAGTGAGGCCTTCAAATGAAGCCACCAAATGAGCTACTCCTAGGGACAAAGATTCCTCCGAGGGTGTCTTGCCATGCGAGTCCAACATTGGGACAGTGTCAGAGGGCTGAGAAAACAATATGTTCAGTATGATAGAACGGACGGTACTCGCTGTGTAACGATTGTTATAAGAAACTCCCAAATTTCTAGCCACTTGAGACTGTCTCAAGACCGTCTCAAGAGTCTCCAGACCGTCGCGTAAGCAGTGGCTAATGCGACTGTCTGGAGTTTTGAGAATCTCTTCGCGGGTTCTATCCCTGCCCGTGGTATGGTTTGTTTGCAATCGTGTCATTACGATTTCGTGAGTCAGGCTTGTGATAGGGTGGATAAGAGAGCAATTTAGCAGATGTTGCAAATGTATGGAAAATGTAGTACGTTACTTAAAACAGTAAAGAGTTTTTATGTGGTTAGCAAGGCTTAGGTTAGGAAGATTATTTTATAGAGATGTGTGATGTCACCATAGTTGATTAACATATTTACAGATGTTGTAAAA